AAAAGAGAGGGGGGTCCCCCACCCACGCGTTGGACGGCGTGTGAGGCCTCCGGGTTTGGCCGATGCGGTGCTCCCGGCGGTGGCCTGCTTGAGAGGTGGGGTGGGGTGCAGCGGGGGCCCTGTCAAGCCTCAGAAAGAAGTGCGCTCCATCACACGTGATTAGGCCCAAGGGATGACCGGGTGAGGCAAAGAAACCGGTTCTTTTCTCGTTAGCATGTCTGTTTGGTTTCATCCGTCCTGGGGTGCTCGTGCGATGAACCTTAAAGTGCAAGCCCTGTGGGTATAAAAACTAAAAAACCCTTCAAATGGGAGAATATATAGTCGTTTAAACTAAATGAATACCCTTTAGGGTTATTCACATTAACTCCTTCCTCTTTTCCTCTTGTGCATTGCCGTGGGCAACGTGGATAGTCTATTTTCCCCGTGTATTGCAGCTTAAAGAACGATTTTTTTTTGACCCGTGGTTGATCCTTCTCATCCCTAATTGTCCTTATATAAAGGGTATAAATATTCTCTAAGAACACATAAGGTATCAGACGGGCTGTTTATATTTACAAACACATTTTGCAAAGGATGGGGATACCATTGATGTTCTTTAAGGTTAACGGCAGTTTCTCCTTTACATACAATTGAGGCGCGAATTGCTTTGATTTGCCATCGTTGTTTACCTCCTATTACAACCTATTTCTCAGCGAGACAAACCAGTGGCGCTAGTGGCTCCTTGTGTATGCGATCGCCACGTCAACATTAATGCTTCTGATCTGAAGGGATCATTTTTGTGATCGTGCGGAATTCAGTTTTTATTTACAACAGTTTCTCTGTAAGGACTTGGTCTCTGTCCGTTGGCTGCTGCCCTCCATTTTCTGCGCTTATTTGGCCTTTTTTTCAATTATATATATATATATATATATATTACCCTTTCAAGACTCCTCTCACTGATGATATATTTGTATTCAAATAGAAGAATGTGGGTAACTCTTTTTGGAAGGGTTTCTGGCTACTTGCTGCTATTCTGCCCATTTTTCCCTCCCAAATACTTAGATGTGTCATGCTGTGTCTTTGGGCACGGTTTTCAAGTCGCGCAAATTATTGCGTCCACCAAGGGGAGCTGAAGATGAGGATCATCGATGAATGAACGATATCACTTTTAGTGAGATTTAGTTTGCAATACGGAAATCATCACCAACACAAAATTTAACTAACAATTTAAACGGATGATGACAGAACGACTACATGTTTGACGATTATTATCATTTCTTCTCTTCCTGTGCTTACTAGTTCATTTTGATAATACTACATCTTTAGAGCTTCGAAGTTTCTATTTGCCTTTCTTCGCATTCGGCGGAAGAATTGTTAACCCTATACTACGCGTTCCTAAAGGGGAGAACACGTACGGAATACATTTTCTGTCTCACTTTCTTACCTGCACCGAACACTCATGCACTTTGACAAGGTCTTCCTCATTGAGCTCGGGATCGCGGCCTTCGTGATCACCTTCGGGGTGCTGTTGTATTGTTTCTTTCCCCACACCCGGATGTATATCGGGGTTTTGCTGCTCGTCACCCTCATTTACATCACACGGGCCTGGCGTCTGCTCCCGAGCCACAAGCGATGGCTGGAGGAGCAGGTCGAAATCGAGGTGAGCATGATGCGCGGGAAAGCCCGAACCCAGGCCGCCTCCACCTCCAACGCGCCCTACGCGACGCCCAACGACCCCATTCCTCAGCCGGAGGCGGGTAATTGCCTCCCGTGGGGCGCCCCCTGTGTGGATCCTCGCCTTTCATCGATGAGAGGGGCCTCCCTGATCCCCTCCACCGCCCCGACGCCGTTTCCCCCGTCGATGCATCGCGGGATGCCGCGGCCGATGTCGAGGCCCCCGGTCATCGTGGAGCCACCGGGCGTCCAGTACGACGTTCGGCCAGCCTACTTTCCGCAGTTTCCGCCGCCGGAGATGAACTTCGACGCACGACCGGAGCATTTTTCCCATTATCCATCGCCGCTAGTGCCGCAGGACGTCGAGATCGACGTCAGGCAGGCCTACTTTTCGCATTTCTCGCCGCCACCCTCGAAGCTGCGGTATCTACCCTGCGCCGCGCGAAGGGTTCCGCCGTCGACGCCTTGCGCTGCGGAGCAAATCCCTTCAAAGGAGATCCCTGCGGCGCGAAGCACGGAGTCTCTTGACGGCGAAGCTCAGCCATCGCAATGAAAACGTTTATCGGTGATGTAGGATATCTGGCATATAGGTTTATATGTAGATATCTATCTATCTATATGTACATACAATATACATTCGTATAAATGAAAATAACTAAACATTCACATCCACATCCGCGTACGCAAGTATATGTATTTATAGGTGCGACATGGAGCTATCTTTTTATAACTATCCTTACGGCTGTTTCCACTCGGGAAATAACTATTCTTTATTCTTTACCCACCACTTAAGACAAGCTGGTGGGAAAAGTCCTTTGCGTTTTCAATATACGTTATTGTTTTGCCATCCTAAATGTTTTCATTTGTATTTGTATACGTTTTGCACGCTTCTGTTTGGGCTTTGCGTCATTGTTACCACGTGGGAGTTTGACATTGTGTGACTTCTGGGGATTCACTCTGTTCTTTCTTTTAGTCTTTCGCATCTCTTTTCTTATTGATAAAATAATACAAAGACGGTCATATCGTTCATAGAATTTATGTTCACATAACTTTTTCGATCTTGTTGTTATTCTATCCTATATTGACACTGTCATCTCCAGCTGAAGTGAGCGCGTCCTGCTGTACTGAGACCAACAGGTGTCATTTTTGCTTCCTTTATTTAAGCTATGGGTATAAAAGGGCTTTGGCAGGCTTTGCAGTCCTACATTCAAGATGGACACTTGAGCCAGTTTAAAGGGAAGCGGGTATCCGTCGATATGTACGTTTGGCTTCATCAGGCAATTCGCCACGGCACCGAGTTGAATAAAGAACGTGTGTGGCGGTATTTTGAGGAGCTGGACGCGCGCTCCTCACAGCCTTCGCGTGATGGCGACGTCGGAGGCACCCAGGCGTCTTCGGAAGGTGACTTTCGGATCGACGATTTATACCTGATCAACGATCGTTACATTGACTACGTCGTCCAGAAGATTGATGCGCTTCTGCAGCACGGGGTGATCCCCGTCTGCGTGTTTGATGGCGCGGAGATGCCGATGAAGCGGCAGACCAACGTGGAGCGGCAGGAGCGGCGCGAGGCGAGCTTCCGTCAGGCCCTGCACCTCCTGGAGGGGAACTACCGCCGCTGCCGGGATAGCCAGCGCCGTGGGTTTCAAACCCACGCCCGGAGTTACACCGAGGCGTTGGAGTGCGTGTGGAAGGCGGTGGACGTCTCCACGGAGCTCGCCCACGCCGTCCTGCAGGTGCTGCGGGAGGAGCGTCGGGTGGAGTGCCTGGTGGCGCCCTATGAGGCCGAGGCGGAGATGGCCTACCTCTGCCGCGAGGGCTACGTCGGGGCGGCGCTCTCGGAGGATTCGGACCTCATCGCGTACTACTGCCCTTGCATCCTCGCGAAGCTCGAGGCCGCCTCGGGGCGGTGCGTCGTCGTGCGGCCGCAGCTCTGCGTGCCCGCCTTTTTCGCCGCGATGGGGGCCATGAGCCTCCCGCAGCGCGCGCGAGGGGGCGGAGGAGGAGGAGGGGGGAGGAGGGGGGGGTGCCAGCGAGGCTCGCCTGCCGCCGACGATCGCCTTCTCGTACGAGTCTTTTCTCCTCGGTTGCATCATGAGCGGCTGCGATTACGTCGCGAACCTCCGCAGCATCGGGGTGAAAACCGCCTTCAAGCTCGTCACGCACGCGCGATCGCTGCCGGAGGTGCTGCAGCTCCTCCAAACCCAATTCGGGTTCCCCTCCGAGGAGCTCCAGCGCTACCGCCGCCGGCTGCTCGACGCGTTCTACTGCTTTGCCCACCACATCGTCTACGACCCCTCGCGTCGGACGCTGGTGACCTTCTTTCCGCTCCCCCATTCCCCGGCGTCGTCGACGCCGCGGGCGGATTTGGTCGGGGCGATGTGGTCCGACGAGGAAACGCATCGCGTCTGCGAGGAGTGCCTGTTCGATCCGAACACGCATCGCCTCTACGTCGGGGCGTTCAAACCCTGCCTGAGCGCCTACCTCCACCGCGCGCGGCGGGGGCAGGTTCGCCTCACCCACTTCGCGGGCTTTCACGCGCGGCAGGCCCCGAAGGTGGTGCTCCCGGCCGACCCCGCGGAGGCCGACTTCGGCCACGGATCCCTCCAAAAGGTGCGCGACGCCGTTGGCTTCCTCGCGAAGGGCACCAAAAAGGTGATGGTGCGCTCGAAGTACTTCCTCCGCGCGGGGCGGTTGCACGCGCAGGAGGATTGGAGCGCCTCCCTAGGGGATAGCGTGGAGGAGGGCGGAGGGGGGGATCTCGCGGGAGGGGGGGAGGTCGGGGTTGGGGTTTTGGGGGGCTCGCCGGACCTGGCATACCGAACGGAGCGGTTGAGCGACTTCACTACCGCCACTTCGGCGGGTTTGGTGATGAAAAGCCAATCCAGCCCCACGGGCACGGCGGAAAGCCCCGACAGCGGGAGCGCCGCGATGACGCCTTTGGACCCGTCGAACGGGAGCGGCCTCCTCGACGACTCCACGCCGTGCACGCCGCGCTTATCTTCTTCGCACTCCTCCCCTTCCACCACCGCCTCCGTCTTCCCCGCTTCCGAGCGGATCGCCGGCGGGGATGCGAAGGGGGAGGTGAAGCTTCATGCCGCCACGACGGACCCCCCTCGCTGCCCGTACGGCACTCCAAGCTGCGATGAAAGCCACTCCATTTTCGTCCGATGCACGGCGGAGGGGCGGCGGGGGGTGAAACGCGCGCGCACCCCCTCCCCCTCCCCTGACGACCCGCCCGCCCCCCTGGAGGAGGCGGGAAGTCTTTGCGATCCCACCGCGCAGCGGATTGGAAAGGTGACCTATTTCGCCAAGGCCTTTAAGGCGCCACGACGGGTGGACTCCGGTCGGGCGAAATCGCCGGGTGAAGCTCCGCTGGTGGACGATCGAGGGGACCGAAGTCTGGTGGATTCGTCGTACGGCAAGGAGGGTGCCACATGTGTAGAGGAGGAACGGTCCAAACCCCTAGAAACTGCGGGGCGTGTGGTGACGTCTAACATTTTTACACAGCTATCTTTCACGGGTCGGCATTCAGCTTAGATACAACAATAGATCAGATTTGTCGATCCCTATGTAGTCTTCTTTTGTTTATGTGGTCGGTGAGGTGAGCGAGGACTGTGTGGTTGCATCCATCCTGTACATTATATATATATATATATATATATTTGTGGGTAGGGAGAGGCCCTTTGAATCTAGGCTAGTTCGCTTATTTGCATTGATGACATTTATAGAAAGACTTATTGAAATAATAATGAAATCGGATATATTCGTTTATATTTTGAAGTAAGGGTGCGGTTAGATACATTCCTATCGTTCAAACAATCAAAAAGAATGAATCACCCCATCGGTAGATGTCAGCACTTGCAGCCATTGACTTAGTTTTCAGCTCCTTCTCCCCTTTCTCACCCACCGAAGGCATATTATACATACATACATACATATATATATATATATATATGCTGATCTAAGGCAATGATCTCTGTTAAGTTCCGACGCCCCACCGCTGCGGTTTTTCGTGGCTGCGGCTATCCTAACTCTTGCCGTTGGAGCTCGCGTGGGTTTGGTTCGGACGGGAATTCGACCCCCACTCCGGCCTCCACCCCTCGCGATGCCAACCAGGCGAAGAAGAAGGAGGAGGAGGGGGTGGTGGGGAGGGGAGCGGCCTCTTCGCGAACGGAGCATCCACGGCGGCCGCCGAGCCCGCCGACCGCCGGATCCACCCCGCCGTCTTCCGCCGAGTTTCCCTCCGCTTCTTCGCTTTCGTCGTCGTCCTCGTCGGGGGTCCCCCGCTCGTTTGACGATCACGCGCGCGTGGTGGCGTCTCGCAATCAGGTGCAGCGCATGCTCCGCCGCCTCCCCCTCGGGCGCACCACCCACACCTTCTACGTCAACGAACTTCCGGATGGCATTAAGACCGATCTCACGCAGTTGGCGCACCACAGGGCCCGGGAGGCGGCCGTTGCCCCCGTTTCTTCTTCCGCTTCCTCGTCTTCTAGATCTTTATCCTCTGCATCCTCTGCATCTTCGTCTGCCGTGGCCTCCGGGACGGCGTTATGGGAGGGAGGGGGGCTCGACCTCTCCCGCCTCGTATCCCTCGCGGAGCCGGTGTTCACGCTGTCGGAGACGTCGCTGCGGGCGGCTTTCCGCGCGATCGCGAAGCAGCAGCCTGCGGCGGCG